AAAGTAAGACCAACTCCTAATTAAGCTAGTATTAAAATGTGTTTTTGTCAACATGTTAAAGTGTTTGTACTAACACAATCAACTTTCATCTTTCTGGAATGTTTAGGACCAAAGTAACTGGAAGTTTTCAGACAGGTGAAGGAAAGAACAGAGACCTGAGAGTCTGAATCTGTTAGATGGACAGAAAGGAGACAGGGTATGAATAATGAGAGAGAACTGAGGCTGCAAAGGATGGAGCAGAGGTGGTAGGTGTGCAGCTGGGCTCAAAATCCCATTCCTTTTTTTTTTTATAGTAAAGCTTTATAATGAAAATGAAATTCATAAAAAACATAACCTACCTACACACACAATTTTTAAAAGCAGGACAATAATGTTCTAACTAGAACATCAGGAAGACATAAAAGGAACATGAAGAACAAAGGCCTAACAAGAAGACATAAGTTGAGAATCCCTAATCCAGAAAGTCCCAAATCCAAAATGTTCCAAAATTCAAAATTTTCTGTGGGACAACTTGATGTCACAGTAAAAATTTCCACCCTAACTTCATGTGAAAGAGCACACAGTTGTTTAGTATATTGCATAAAATTACCTTCAAACTCTGTGCATAAGGTGTAAGGGCACAAAAATGGATCTCATGTCTTATGCCTTCCGTAACAACCTGGAGCTGTATCAATGAGCAATTGGGAAAACTCCGGAGAAAAATATGCAATTCCTCTTTTATTTCCCAGAATTGAAATTCCCATTCAACTGATTCTTTGGGACAAAGGATGGTCCGTTTTACATTTTCATGGGTGATTTTCTTAAGATCACAAAGCTCAGAACATAGATTCAGGATCATCTTGTTGCCTCTTTGTTCTTTTTTGAAAAATGAGATCTATTGGAAGACCAAGAGCAAAGCAAGCTGCTGGATTTTAGAAATTACTTTTTATAAACACTTCCAAGGAACATAGTAGTGGCCAATTACTAAATTGAGAAGAAATCAGAGAAAAATGTTTCCTTAAGACAAAACAACTTAAACCTAGGTTTGGATGAATTAATACACATTGAACATCCTAATCTGAAAGCTTGAAATTCCAAATCCAAAACTTTTTGAGTGCCAATATGGTGCCCCAAGTCAAAAATTCCATATGTGAACTCAAATGACTGCAATCAAAGTGCAAAATACTTCACAAAATACTCCACAAAATTGCTTTCAGGCTCTGTGTATCAGCTGGATATAAAACATAAATTATTTTTGTGTGTAGTCCGGGTCCCATCTCCAAGATATATCGTTATATATATGTAAATATCCCCAAATCTGAAATCCAAAACACCTCTGGTCCCAAGTATTTCAAATAAGGGATATACAGTCTTTATTTAGTCAGAATAACATGTTATTCTGAAACTTAAGAAAATCCCATCTGATATGGGAATGGTTGAAGCAGCCATAAATGATAGTTTAGTTGTTGAAGGGTTGCTCGTTTTTATTCAAAGTGTTATTCAAAATTTACCATATAGGTTTAATCGAAAGTTTAAGAAAAATGGGCAATCAGAAACAGGGTGAATAATGTGTGGAGATAAAAATATTTTACACATAAAACTTCCACATTCTGAATTATTGTTAGGAAATCTGTCTTTTATTCTTTCTTTTGTCAAATAAAAAACAGCCAGAACAGTAAGAACAATGATAATCTTCTGCTATCAAAAACTTTTCATTTGTGTAGCAAAGACTTGAGTTCCTGCTATGCTGTGGCACTGCAGACACAAAGAGGATCAAGAAGCATCTTCTCGGGGCTGCTGAAGTGACTCAAGTGGTAGTTGGCTCTAGGGACAGAACCACCAATGGGACAGGAGTGCTTCACTGAGACTGCAGAACAGAGGTAAGGGGAGGGCTGTCAGAGGTAGGTTGGGCAAGTAGTCCTGAAGGTGAAATTTTGAGTAAACACATCTCTTTTTCTGTTTTACCTTAGTTCTTTAATATTATTAAAAGGTACTCTTTGTAGATAGAACTTCATTCCTAGTTCTGCTTGGTTGTATATTTGTTTAAATAAATGTTATCCTTGGAGAGCATCAATAATAGATATAAAAATGTGAATATGTGTCAATTGTGATTTGATGTAATTTGTGCCTTTTCTGGTTGACATAAACATAAGGGAGTATTAGACCTGCTGAAGACTAAAGATGGATCCGCTTCTCTGGGAGATGAGTTCACTCTTCCTTGGAGCCTTGGGTATGCAGTGTTTGGATAGTTTGGGAGGGAGGAAGTAGTGTGGAGGTGTGGAGGACTTGGAGGACCCCCTCACAGTGGTGACTTGGGATTCTGCCCTTTCTCTCATGAACTTGCAGCAAATTCTCTGCAGCTTTAAAGGGCACAGTGTCCTGTCAGGTGTCTGAAGGATCAGGATCACCATGGAGTAAGGCACTGGAAACTTACTGCTGGGGTCTTGAATGAAAGCGGGCTGGCCTCTTTCCTGGGCATTTCAAATATAAAAGAACCACATTTACCAAAAGATGACACTGTAAGAGGTAGCTAACCGACAAAGGAACTTGTTCTACCCTGAAAATACTCTGAGGCTTCATACACACTTTCTGAATCAACTTTGGGCATCAGGCCATATCTGCTTTTTCTTCAACTATCCAACTATGTACTCCAAAATGTTCCTTTGCATCACTGAAGCAAACTATCACTTGTTAGCAACTTCTGGCAATCTCCAGAGCCTTCAGATGACCTTCATTTTCCTTTGTCCTGAGTATTTTTCAGTGACAAGTAAAAATACCTATTTTGAGAGCTGGAGGAAATGAAAATGTTTGCCCTGTAGGGAATGAGCTCTTGATTTAGCTAAAACTTTTTAAAAAGTATGTTTTAAACACAAATACAGTATTGCATGAAATTAAAATGTGATAAAATCACCATGAAATATCTTTTTTTTTGTTGGTAATTATTTTTATACAGAGTTTAAAAAAAAAACAAAAAGAAAGGTAAAGTTGTAAAAATGGATCATAATGAAGAAGCAGAAATAAAGTTATTCTGAGATTAGGGCCATGTCCTATGAAAAGAGTAGTTTCTGTCAGTCGGCAAGAAAAGAAAATACTAGAGACTGGATTACAAGACACACTAAGGGTAGTATACGGCAGCTGAATAGGGCAACTGTCTCCTTCTGTCAGATCTCAGAGGAATTCCTACTTTTCTTTTCATGGTGCTTGGGATCAAACCCAGCGCCTTGTGCATGCCAGGAAAGTACTGTACCACTTAGCCACACTACACATCTTGCCCAAGTAAGAATAGGAATTCCTGACTTAATCTTCTGTACTAGTGGATGGATTAACTGTTTGTAAACACTTCCTAGCAGTATAATAACAACTATTAGACAGGTGGGCCCATTTTACAAATGAAGGATCTGGGGCTCAAAGTGTAAGGTACTTGCCCCAACTCACACAGCTTGTAAATGTACAGCCATAATTCAGACTCATGTCAGTCTAATTTTAAAATTTTTCTCCTGAACTTTTATACTGTGTACTATGGTTCCTTTATCTAGTGATAATACCTTAGAAAGTCTAGGGTATTCCCAAGTACCTTGGGCAATCCTAAACTATTTAGCAAAATGTTTCTTAAATAAAGATATCTGCACATCCATGTTTATTGCAGCATTATTCACACTAACCAAATTATGAAACAGCCAAGATACTCCACAATTGATTAATGGATTAGGAAAATGTGGTATTTATACACAATGGAATTTTACTCAACCATAAAGAAGAATGAAATTTTGTCATTCGCAGGTAAATGAATGGAACTGGAGAACATCATCTTAAGTGAAGTTAGCCAGGTTCAGAAAGGCATAGGCCATATGTTTTCTGTCAGTGTAAGGCAGGCCCAACACAAATACAAACAAAATTATATATACAGAGGAATATATACAGAGCTTGCATCCAAAAGTGGGACTGGTAGAGACCAAGAGAGGAGGAAAAGAAAGGAAGATAGCTAGTAATAATGAAGTACATTACATCTGTATAGGTACAAGACACACTGAAACTGTTAAACAACACAGGATAGGAGTAAAGAAGTGAGGAAGTACATTGGAGGGAGGTTACATTGACTTAAGCACAATGCATGTACAGGTATAATACCAAGGCAAAAATCTCAGTGAACAATGAATAAGACAACTAAACAACAAAGGTCAAGAATGAAAAATAAGTCATACTAAGGGGAGGGGGAGGATAAATAAATAAAGTAAAGAAGGTGAATATGGGTAATATACTTTATATACGAAGATGAATATGGAACATTCAAACCACCGAAATCACCCTAAGAAGGGGACTAAGGTAGAAAGGAGAAAAGTGGAAGAGATGGACCAATCTGAGGTATAATACATACCCATACATTCATCTATCTATCTATCTATCTATCTATCTATCTATCTATCTATCTATCTGTATGTATGTATATACCTGGAAAGTCACAATGACACTCCCTGTATAACCATCCAAACAAAAATGTCTTTTTTTAAAAAATGAAGGACAGGAAGGTAAAACAAGTCCCATCCCAGGGTTTGTATCAGTGGGAGGGAGGAGAGCATAAGGAAGGGGTGAAGAAGGTGCATATGGTGGAAATACAATGTGTTCATGTAGGAAAAAGGATCAGTGAGACCTGCTGAAACTATTATAAGAAGGGGAGAGAGTGGATAAAGAAGAAGGAAGAAGGGGTGACTAACTATTATATATTGATACTGTAAGCACTTTTGTAAATGTCATAATGCATCCCTGGTACAACTAAAATATGCTAATAAATAAATAAATAATGAAAAAAAAAGAGAATGTTCTATTTTGCTCTTCCTCAGCAGTGTCTCCCTTACCAGGGAAGGAACAGAAGAGCAGGAACAGGGCAGCTAAGGTTGATAGCCTTTCAAAGTGTTTGCTCCAAATGTGTTCCACCTCATTACTCTATTAGTGACTGACCACAAAGTATCAAAAAAAACCAACCATTTGTCCCCTGACCCCTCCCCTCATTTGAGCCAACTTACTCCAAGGAGTCAATGATCTTTTTTGGCTCCACGGGGCATGGGTAGATCACTTCATCAATGTGCTTCAGGTTGCAATTAGAGTAGGCTGTGGAGATATGGATGAAGGCTTCCAGCCGAGGCATCTCACTGGCCATCTGCAGGAGCTGCTGGGTGGCAGTGACATTCAGCTGCACGGCGTGTCTGGAAAAGATGAAGTGGCAGGATTAGCCACATTGTAACTGCACACTCCACTTCAGTGACTGGAGCATCGAGCAGGTTCTACTGACTCCCTCAAAAGACAAGGAAGAGAAGGACAGGCCCTGGCCACAGAGTCACGACACCTGGAATGACATGCACTGTGATAGGGTTTGTGTATATAAATGTACTTACTGAATAGGAATATACCATATATTGTATTCAGAGAGCATTTGGTCCTGGTCAACTGGAAGGAAGAAAACCACAGTCCTCTGAATTTATAATGGGGCTTCCACAATCGGCCACTAGAGAACAAAAACTACACAAATTAAGCATCTAACTTAAGAATTTGGAAACCACAAATAAACCAGATTTTTAAATGAACAATAGAAATTTCTATCATAATGATATAGATCAGATATGAAAACTGGTGTTAAAATCCTAAATTGCACTAATAGAATACAAAGCTATATAAACACAGTATGTGTGACAATGACACAGTTCCTTGCATGAATATGTTTTACTCAGTATCAGGAAACTTATTAATCTAAAGTCTAAGTTAACTCAAAAAGAGAAAAACTACACCTAAACATATACTTAAATACTCCCTACTTAGTTAAAGAAATTTGCTAATATAGGAATAACATGGTTAACCAATGCTAGCCAGTCATGCCTAATGATGAGAAGCTAGAAACACTGCTTTATAGGGCTAGGAAGGATACCTATAATCGCTACTGGTACTGGTCAGTGCCATAAAGTCCTGGTCCTGTAACTAGAGAGGAAAACAAAATTAATGAACAGATGTAGAGCATTGAAAAGGTGGTCACAAAATCACTATCACGTCATGTAACTGTATAATTTTAAAGAAGCTTTGAAAAATTAGCATGTACAAGATAGTTCAGTAGTGTTCATTTATAAAAATTATATAGCTAAAATTTAGAGTTTAAATAGAAGGAAGGAACACATTCAAAGCTGAACATTTATGATCAAATTAATCATAAATGGATGTACAGAGGAAATGTTAAAACGTCATTGATGATCACAGTTCAAAAGGGGAATAAATAAAAAAGACACATTGTTCTTGAGCAGGAAGAGTCAATACTTTAAATACAAGTATTTCTAAATCAATCTATGTATTTAAAGCATTCCTAATCAAACTCTCCAAATTTTTAGCAACTTGGAAAAATTGTTATAAATGTAAATAAGAAGGATAACTAGGCAAGAAGAATCAGGAAAATTTTATTTAAAAGGCCGCTGTGGGTATATGTGCCCCAATGTGATAAAAATTGTAGTAGTAAAATGGTGCGATTTGGCAAAGAAAGCATGAACAATGGAAAAACAGAGTTTGAGGAATTGAAGAGCTTCATTTCAAACAGAGTGAAAATGAATCATTGACAAATATTGTTTAAAAACTAACCCATCTGCTAGAAAAAGGCTACTGTATTCATTCTTAATCCCTCTTCTTGTAGTAGAATTTTCCAATGTCTTTTATAGTTAAATAAATATCAAAAGGATCAAAGATCTAAATGTAAAAGTAAAACGATAGAATAACTTCAGCAGATATGGGAGAGGGGGTTAAGGAGAATGGTGGAAGGGATGAACTCAGGTATGACAGATGTACCAATATATATTGTAGGAACTCCTGCAAACGCCACAATGTACCCCCACCCTACACAATAATAAAAAAACTTTAAAAAAGAAATTATGAACAGCTGCATAAATAATAGCATTGAGAGACAAATTATAAGTTGTTAAAATATTTTGAGGCTTATAACACACAAAGTTAACATGCTAAATCTTCTAAGAAGTGTCAAAATTAACAAGAAAGAATGTTTCCATTTAAAATAGGAAAAGACGTTCAGGTGCAGTGGCTCACACCTATGATCCTCTCAGGAGGCAGAGACTGGGAGAATCACGGTTTCATGCAGGCCTGGGCAGAGAAGTCAACCAATGGCTGGGCATGGTGGAACACGCCTATCATCCCAACTATGAGGCGGGTGTAAATAGGAGGATCGTAGTTCAGGCCTTCCGAGGCATAAATGGGAGACCCTATCTCAAAAATAACCAATGCAAAAAGGGGTTGGGAGCATGGCTCAAGTGATAGAGCACCTGCCTAGCAAGCACAAGGCCCTGGGTTCAAACCTATGTACTGAAAAAAAAAAAAAGGACAAAAAGAAAGTAGAATGTGAACAGGCATGTTGCAAATGAATAAAATTTCAATAAGCATGTAAGCATTGTCAACCTTTCTAATTATCAAAGAAATTTTAAAAAATACCACATCATATCTGCACTATCATACTGGCAACATTAGAAAGAATTACAGAATTATAAAGTATATTATGGTGACCGTAAGCAATGACCATTGCCCTGCAGTGGGCAATGTAGGTTGACTCACCTCTTTGGAGAGCAACGTCTTACTACATGTAACAAAGTAAGGGCTCATACCCAGGCATACCTGGTATGTAGCTAATGAATCTGCTTCTGGGAATTTATCCCACGGGTGCACGCAGGGGAGTAAAAAAATAATGCACATTGAAGTTTTTTAGAATAGTGAAAAATTAGGACAATGTAAATGTCCACCAGGATAGAACTGGCCAGAGTATATTATAGCCTGGTACACTGGAATGCTAAGTAGTCATTCCAAACTATAATGGAATATTTATTGACAACGAAAGACAGCCAAAAACATAATTGAATAGGTTGCAACAATCACTCTGAATGCCATTTTTTTGTCAACTTGGACATATAACTAACTATATAATCACCGATGCAACAGGAAAAGTCAGAATGCATGCTGTCCATAACAGTAAATAGTGTCCTGGGTAGTGGGATTATAAAGAAGCCTTGGTTCTTCAGTTCTGTGTAGTTTCTCATTGAGGATGTTTTTTGTTCTGTTTTTCACAGAAGCCATGAAGAATCCTATGTGCACACATGTACAAGCACACACGTATGCAAGCTGAGGGGCAGTGAGACATACCTCAGAGGGTCATCAAAGCGTACAGTGGCTGCACAGTGGAAGATAATATTTGTGCAGGACAGAAGCTCCTGCATGTCCTCCTTGCTGATGCCAAAGTCATTCTGGTTGAGATCCGCACAAATGGGTCTGATCTTCTCATGCACGTTGGGACAGACTTCTTTGACTTTCTCGAATAGCTGAAATGTAAAGGTAAATCAACATGCAAACAGCAGCACCATGCTCTTCTGGTTCCCTCTTGCTGTTACAACTGTTCTCAAAGGCTGGTTCTCCTGGTAATAGCAATATCTCTCAAGGAAGGTTCCCACCTGCTCGAGGGCCATCCACTTCCCATCATGCAGATGACTGTGATTCCCGCTCTTCTGAATTTAGGAACATTTGCAAAAGTCAGGTCTGCTAACCCAGAGGTTCTGCGGTGTGCACTGTGTTGGGGTGGAAGGGGCGGTGTGCTAGGAAGTCACTCACACCCTGCCTTGAGCCACGTTCCCTCCTAAGGCAGTTTTAGGGTTATACGTGGTGATCATTTCCATTTGGGGCGGGGAAATAATTTTTTTTTCAGTGTGAAATTACCACCCTTTATATTTAGCAGCAAAATTACCAACCACTTGGTTAACGGGTTCAGATTAACAATGTCTTAGCCTACAACAATAATGAGAAAATAAAAACTCAGGCAAGCCTATAATGGGTGAAACTAATAAAAATTTTATGTAATCTCATTCTAATATAAATAGCAGTTGACATCTAGCATGAGAATTATATGAGCTCATGTACATTTTAGGGATTTAACTGATTTTTAATATTCTAATTTATTTATAAGGGGAAAAGGAAATAACACAGGCAATTTTTGTTTTTATTACAATTATTCAAATGGAGCAGATTCTCTGCTTTCCCCTCCATACAGATTCTTAGATCATGTGGCATTTTACATTTTCTCAGAAACCACAATTTTAATAAAACTGATCTTTGTTCCAATCTATTTTGGTATGGTGGAGTCTTACTGTGGTACCGGTGTGGTTAAATGTCAGAACCGTTATGAGCAGAGGAATGCAGCCATGGCGTTCACACACAATGTGGCAGATAGCTCTCTGCTTTCATCTGCTCCCTGGTCCTCAAGAGATGGAGTCTTCTCTCCTTACAGATCTGCCCCTGGCTCTTCTTTCGGGTAATAAAAGTGGAATCAGGCAGTCAGAGAAATCATGTCTCATTCGTATCAGGCAAGAGCAAGCTAGGGCCATCTGGGAAGCACGCTGAAGGTGGACCCACATGCTGGCCTGACAACCGATGCCCCCCTGTCTCTGGGCGACTCTCTTTCTGTACTGTAGGGTCAGCACTTCCAGTGGTGTTGCTACAGTTCTGAAAATAATTTGGACATTAGGTCAATCCCCCATAATATTTTGGCATCTGGGATTAATAAGGTTGATAAAGTGTCTTAGGCACAGTCTCAACAAAGAGGTCATCCTGGCTCTTCTAGAAAGATCTCTAACAGTTCCTCTAATCTTGATTAACAATAAACATGCTGAATGTTTGCTTCCACAGTCAAATGTTCCTTAGCTCATGTTAACTGTTCAGCAAACATGTTGGATTTTTTGGGGGGTAAGTTTGTGTAAGGTTTGTATAATTTCTCCCCTTTTAATAATTGAAGGTATAGAAGGCTCTTTTTGAGTTGACATGATAGATTTTATTCACTGAAAATAAATTGAGAGTTCTGTGGACTCTTTGACTTTGACCTATGAGGGCTTTAGGCTCTTGGAGAGGAATAGGAATTGGAGAGGGATAGAGGACATTCGTGTAATGCTTTAGAAACAATATAAGAGTCCTGATCTTGGAGTCCTACAGTCAAGGAGCTATCCACATGGCCTTACTTTCAAAGTGTCCACCTGAGGTTGTGTCTGTACTTCCTGTGGATACTGAAGATAATCATATATTTTCTTTTCAGTGGGACTGGGTTTGAACTCAGGGACTTGTGTTTGCAAAGCAGGTACCCTACCACTTGAGCTACACCTCCAGTCCATTTTGCTCTGGTTATTTTGGAGATGGGGCTCACAACTATTTGCATGGACTGGTGTTGAAGCATGATCCTCCTGATCTCAGCCTCCCAAATAGTTAGGATTGCTAGTATGAGCCACCAGTGCCTGGCTGATCATATTTTTTCTAATCATGAAAGTCTTTGACCTTTATTCATTGTACTGAATCCTTCTTTTTAACTACAACTATATTATTTAGTTCCAATATCATACTAATTGCTTAATACTTTTATTTTGTGAAAAAAGGGTGAGTCCCTTTAGACTGATGGGCAATCTCTGGAATATCTGGTGCACCAAAGTAAGAGACTGTAACATTAAAGAATTTATAGACTGCTGAGTGAAAGCACTTCAGGAGATTCTGCAAGTGAGTTCTAATCAAGTTGAGAACGAATAAACACAAATAAGTACATGAAAATCAAAGCGAAAAAAATTGTCATGCCCAATGAAGTTACACACACACACACACACACACACACACACACACACACACACAAAACCAATCACAATGTTAGGATTTTTCTAATTTACTAGCAACTCCCATGAGATGTAAAGGATTAATCTGGGGGTTTTTACTGCTTCAGTGAGGACATTTGTATAAGACCATAAGGCTGCATGGTGTCGTAGTCTGGCACATAGCAGAGCTGGCTGGGAAGTCATAGGAGATTCTTACCTGACAGTTCTGAGTTGAAGCTTGGGTGCCTGGACATTGTACAAGCTCTCTAGGGACACTTAACTTGCACTGAAGCTGAGAACCCTTGGTGTCTTGGAAAGACACCAGGCCCTTTGTAGTTATGAAGGACTGAGTTTCAATCCTGATTCTGCCATTTATTAGTTGTGTAACTGGGGCAAATTACCAACCTGTCTGGACCTCTGTAATAAATGCTAAAGGTAAAACTATGTTCAGTCTATCATCTCGTTATGTTTTATCCTCATAGAGTTCTTTGAGAGTAAGTACTTGGGTAAGAAAGAAGTTACATGTGTAGGAAGATGGAGAGCAATATGAAGGTCATTTCTACTCCAACAGGATGGGTGGCATCTCTGCACCATCCATGCAAAAGAATGGTAAGATGCCGTTGCCACTGCAAGAGTGGCAAGCATTGGCTCCCCATCAGTGACAGTTTGCTGGGGGAGCAGCAGCACAGCAGGGAGAGCTTGGGTTTGAAAGAAACGAGATCTGCATTCAGGTGTTGCCTAATAACGTCTTTGGTGCAGATCACAAAACCCTCATAGAGGATGGATGACTTCCTGGATTAATGTCTTATCTGTGATGTAAGAGTGAGGCATTTTATAGGGCCTGTTGACATATGCATATGCAGTGAAAGCCAGGTGCTTAGAGCCTACCACTTCCTAGGTCCTCAATACTGGGAAATCCCCTTCTCACATCCACAATGCTCTTTCCAAAGACTGCTAATCCGAAAGCTGTGTGTGTGTGTGTGTGTGTGTGTGTGTGTGTGTGTGTGTGTGTATTGGGTCACACAGAAGTTTCCATGTGATTAAAACACTTTTCTCTTTATTAATTTAATATTTTGAAATAAAATTTATAGAAACAGCAGCAACCTGCCTCTTAAAATAGAAACTCAATGCAAGTAAGTCCAATTAGCATGCCAACAGTTATTTTATGCTATTCCACTTCATAACAATGGTGATCCCATACTTAATTTGATGAATGAAGAGCCAAGAATAACCATCACATTTCTGAAGAAAGAAGAATCACAGTGTCAATATTGAGGCTTACTGTAAAATGATAGTATTGGAGGTTGGAGGGTGGCTCAAGTGGTAGAGCACTTGCCTAACAAGTGCGAAGCCCTGAGTTCAAACTCCAGTACTGGGGAAAAAATGATAGTTGTAAAACAGTGTGCTCTGGGGACAGGGATAGAAATTAGGGCAGTGGAACAAAATAGACATTTTGCTAAACTGTTCAATAAATAGGCATTTCATAAGTGGTTCTGAACACTGGCTCTCAAGATAGAGAAAAAGACAAACTCAGCTCGCTACCTCATATTACACACAAAAACTCAATGTGGAGGGGACTGATGACTTCAGTGTGAAAAGCAAAACTGTAAAACTTCAAAATACAGTGTTGGAGAAAACCATTATTGTGTTAAGATCCATTAAAATAAATAAATAGATTTTAAAATCCATAGATGTAAAATACTAAGTTAGAAAAGCAAGGTTGGAAAAGGATATTACAGTATGATTATAAACCTGTTTGTGGAAAGTTATACACATACATGTCGGAATAAATACAATAAAAAGACATAACAAGTTGTTAAGGTAGATAAATTTAACCCCTGTTTTAAAAAGCTTCTGTACAAAAGATACCCTGAGCAAAGTAAAAGCCCACTCTACACAGTGGGAGGAAATAATTAAGACTCATGCAATCAACAAACATTTGTTGTGCACAACAATGGAGAATTCCAACAAGGGTGCAAAGAAAGAGAAAGAATGTAAAAGGGGAGACAACATGCCCATCACGCACAGCTCCAAGTTCAGTTTCTTTGTGGGGCATGTAGGGAGACAGAAATCAGAAAACAAAGTTGAAAAACTTTAAGCATCTCTGTGTCAGTTTACAACCCCGATTATATAGATGTCTGTTACTTTGAAGTTCTTGTTTTCTAGATATTTTAAGTACCTCATAATTACATAGTGATTTTTATAGATACCTGACTCATTAAATGAAAATATTTCAGCCAGACTTACAGATTTTACTTTTATTTTTTGGTGGTAGTAGAGTTTGAACTCAGGGCTTCATGCTTGCTAGGCAAACACTGTATCACTTAAGCCACACCTGCAGCCCTTTTTGCTTTACTTATTTTTCAGATAGGGTCTCCATGATCCTTCTACCTACTCCTCTTGCATAGCTGAGATAACAGCTGGGCCCCACGATGCCCAGCTTGCTTGTTGAGATGGAGTCTCACTAACTCCCCCTTCCCACCATTGGTCTCAAATATTGATATTCCTGACCTCCACTTCCTGAAAAGTGGTGATTATAGGCATGAACTGAATACCTAGCCTAAAAGTGGGTTTTTCATTTTTTGTGGTACTGAGGTTTGAACTCAGGGCTTTGTGCTTGCTGGACAGGTACTCTTCCATTTAAGCCACACCCCCAGCTCTAACAGAGGCTTTTAAAAAGGGGCAGAAGTGTAGGATTAAGT